CCCGGGAAGTCCTTCCCCCTAGTCATCCCAAAAATGTAGTAATGGACCGCGGTGATGCATTGCAGCGGGAAGGTATTTTGGAAATGTTCGGGGCTGGGTATTTTTTCCCCCCTCGGCTGCTTATTCATTTATTCCGAGCGTGGAGGCTTTCTGCGCAGAAAAGCAGCTCCCGGCGCTGCAAGCGACTCCTCAGATAGTGGAAAGTAAGGTGAGAACGAGTGACGGGGCAGCGCCTTCAGGGTCCTAGAACCGCCCGCCTCGAGCTCTTTTCTCTCTCGGGTGTAGGAGAGCTTTTAAGGGTGAGTTTGGGGTGAGGGCAACGGAGAGGTGAAGGCTTCTTGGACAAGACGGTAGGGATTAGCTACAATACTTGGATTGCACTGCTAACTTGGAGGTAGGAAATAAATTGGAATTCAATTTGCATACCGATTTTATGCAGGCTGCCTCTCGTGTTTGTGTAACGCGCTAATAAACTAATCCCATTGGCTTGGTTCACGTAACCCTAAGGTTGAGCCACGAAGTAGCTAACCACATTTTAGCTAACTGCGAGAAGCCGGGTTGGACCTGATAAAGAGGTTGGCTGCCCACTCCGTGCTTCGTCTGTATCTTTTTTATGTTTCATCCAGAAAGTCTGCGTATGTTCCAATTAGAGAGTTCATTTTCCTGAATGCTGTGGAATTATTCTTTTTTAGCTGGTCCCTCCCGTTTTTGTTTTTTTAAAGATGGCCATTTTTCAAGTTTAGTCTGCAGCTGTAGTTGAAGAGCAGATTTACAGGCAGATGGCAGCGCCTAGTCGATGTTGGCAGGTCTCAGAAAAGCTAAGCAAAGTTGAGGTTGGCTAGTACTAGAATTGGGAGTGGAAATTCCAGCATTATAGGTTAGCTTGTGATGTGAAAAAGAAAAGACAGAAGGCGGAAATCCTGGAAGAAGGCAAGTCCCTTTTGTATTGTGGCCAAGGAAAGAACATGGGTGAAGTCATCAGCTTCAATCAAAGGACTCTCTGTCATTATTCTAACAATTGTATTTTGGACCTTAATTATTTGTTGTTTGGACCCTCAGATTTCTGGCAATACAGGAAAGTCTAAGATTGTGCTGTAGAAGCATTTTTCTTTCCTGATAATTATTTGCATAAGGGTGGAGGAAGTGATTTTGAGGAAGAGAAAGTATTATCTGCAACCACGTGAAACGTCTCTGAACTTTTGGACATCTTTCATAAGAGGTGACAGGATTCCCAAGAGGGAGGGAGCAGCATTCCTAGGAAGAATTTCAGGCCTCACACATGGTGCCTCTGGACGTTCTGGAATATAACTCCCATCAGTCCCAGCTACTGATCTGGGATGATAGGAGCTGCAGTCCAAAACTTCCCAAGGGCATCTTATTGGGTGTCCTCTTTTTGTGAGGCACTTACTTGGCACAATGGTACTGTGGTTGTAATGACTTTTTTGCCCCTTGAGTCTTCAGCTTTGTTCAGCAAGCAAATTATTTATCTTCTTTAAAAGCCAGTGTTTCAGTTGCTCTCATAAGAGGCTAGGGCCTCTATGAAAAATGTTCTTTATCTAAACCTGGCACCCCCTGTAATTTTGTAGGTCACGTTTGCCCTCCCAACTTCCAGCATTTCCTGAAGGAGTGTGTCTGTATCATACAGTGCGAAGCACCAAAAGTTATAATCTGGAAGAGGTGCACTGAACTAGCATATTTGTAACCAGTTTATATAGAGGTAAAAGACCTGTGCCCCAATAATGACTTTCTTTATATTTTCTCTGTAGTTATATACTGATTGTTTACTTCAACAGCCATACAAGAAAGATTACTTGATCTCTTTTTATTCTTGTGATTTTTTAAATTGTCATTTGAATTGTTTTTCTCAGTGTGGAGATACTCAATTATATTGGACTGTAGGTATACACCACCTAGTGTCATGCATATAAGAGTGGTCTGTGAATACTGTTAAATAAATACATTGTAAGCCCTGTCTCTGGAGTTAGCGGGATATATCTATTCTTGGATGCCCTGTCACCAGTGTAGAAAATTGACCTTTATGGTAAGTCCAATGTACCTTCTCTCCTTAAGTGTACTCTCTGTTCTTAGCAGTATTTGTAGGAAGATGCTTTGAAGATAAAATTATACTGCATCCCTTGATGTCCATTGGCCAAACTAATACAATAGAGGCAAATATGTGTAGCTCAGGGTTGAACTGTGGAGTCCTTGGGGTTCTCTGAGCTTGGGTCTTTTTTTTTTGAAGGTTCCTTATACCCCGCGACTGTGGAGTTTACTAACCTGGGGAAGGAAAGATTTGAGAGAAAG